GGCCAGTGTTTCGAGAACTATGTTGAACAGAAGTGGTGAGAGAGGGCATCCCTGTCTTGTTCCAGATTTTAGAGGGAATGCCTTCAATTTTTCTCCATTCAGAATGATGCTAGCCTGAGGCTTAGCAAAGATTAATTTTACAATATTGAGGTATGGTCCTGTTATCCCTAGTTTTTCTAGACTTTTGAACATAAAGGGATGCTGTACTTTGTCGAATGCTTTTTCCGCATCTATCGAGATGATCATATGGTTCTTATTTTTAAGTCTATTGATGTGGTGAATAACATTTATTGATTTCCGTATATTGAACCAGCCTTGCATTCCAGGGATGAATCCTACTTGATCATGGTGCACAATTTTTTTGATATGTTTTTGTATCCGATTCGCCAGAATTTTATTGAGGATTTTTGCATCTAGGTTCATTAGAGATATTGGTCTGTAGTTTTCTTTCTTTGAAGTGTCTTTGTCTGGTTTAGGTATCAGGGTGATGTTGGCCTCGTAGAATGAATTTGGAAGTTCTCCCTCTTTTTCGATTTCCTGAAATAGCTTGAAAAGTATTGGTATTAGTTCCTCTTTAAAGGTTTTGTAAAACTCTGCTGTATACCCATCTGGTCCTGGGCTTTTCTTAGTTGGTAGTCTTTTGATGGTTTCTTCTATTTCCTCAATTGATATTGGTCTGTTTAGGTTGTCTATATCCTCCTGACTCAATCTGGGCAGATCATATGACTTAAGAAATTTATCGATGCCTTCACTATCTTCTATTTTATTGGAGTATAAGGATTCAAAATAATTTCTGATTATCTTCTGTATTTCTGAAGTGTCTGTTGTGATATTGCCTTTTTCATCCCGTATGCTAGTAATTTGAGTTCTCTCTCTTCTTCTCTTCATTAGCATGGCTAAGGGTCTGTCGATTTTATTTATTTTTTCAAAGAACCAACTTTTAGTTTTGTGAATTTTTTCAATTGTTTCTTTTATTTCGATTTCATTAATTACAGCTCTGTTTTTAATTATTTCTTGCCTTCTACTTCTTTTGCTGTTGTTTTGCTCTTCTTTTTCTAGGATTTTGAGATGAAGTATGAGATCATTTATTTGTTGGTTTTTTCTTTTTTTAAGGAATGAACTCCAAGCAATGAATTTTCCTCTTAGAACTGCTTTCAATGTGTCCCATAGATTCCAATATGTTGTGTCTGTGTTTTCATTTATCTCTAAGAATTTTTAAATTTCCTCCTTGATGTCTTCTATAACCCATTGATGATTTAGTAACCTATTGTTCATTCTCCAAGTGATGCATGATTTTTCCTTCCTTCTTTTATCATTGATTTTTAGTTTCATTCCATTAGGATCAGATAAGATGCATGGTATTATCTCTACTCTTTTATATTGTCTAAGAGTTGCCCTGTGACATAATATATGATCTATTTTTGAGAAGGATCCATGTGCAGCTGAGAAAAAAGTGTAACTGCTTGATGTTGGGTGGTATATTCTATATATGTCAATTAAGTCTAGGTTATTAATTGTGTTATTGAATTCTATAGTTTCCTTATTCAACTTTTGTTTGGAAGATCTGTCCAGTGGCGAGAGAGGTGTGTTGAAGTCTCCCATGATTATTGTATGGTGGTCTATTAGACTCTTGAACTTGAGAAGAGTTTGTTTGATGAACATAGCTGCACCATTGTTTGGGGCATATATATTTATGATTGTTATGTCTTGTTGGTGTATGGTTCCCTTGAGCAGTATGTAGTGTCCCTCTTTATCCCTTTTGATTAACTTTAGCTTGAAATCTATTTTATTTGATATGAGTATGGACACTCCTGCTTGTTTCCGAAGTCCATATGAGTGATATGATTTTTCCCAACCTTTCACCTTCAGTCTATGTATGTCTTTTCCTATCAAATGCGTCTCCTGTAGGCAGCATATTGTTGGGTCTTGTTTTGTGATCCATTCTACTAGCCTGTGTCTCTTAATTGGTGAGTTTAAGCCATTAACATTTAGGGTTATTATTGAGATATGGGGTGTTCTTCCAGCCATATTTGTTTATTTCTGTTACTAAACATGGTTTGTTTTCCTCTTTGATTATTTCCCCCCCTTTACTGTTCTACCTCCCACTGTTGGTTTTCATTGTTATTTTCCATTTCCTCTTCCTGTAATGTTTTGCCGAGGATGTTTTGAAGAGATGGTTTTCTAGCTGCAAATTCTTTTAACTTTTGTTTATCGTGGAAGGTTTTAATTTCATCTTCCATCCTGAAGCTTAATTTCGCTGGATACACGATTCTTGGTTGGAACCCATTTTCTTTCAGTGTTTGAAATATGTTATTCCAGGATCTTCTAGCTTTCAGAGTCTGTGTTGAAAGATCAGCTGTTATCCTGATTGGCTTACCCCTAAATGTAATCTGCTTCCTTTCTCTTGTAGCTCTTAAAATTCTCTCCTTATTCTGTATGTTGGGCATCTTCATTATTATGTGTCTAGGTGTGGATCTCTTATGATTTTGCACATTCGGCGTCCTGTAGGCTTCTAGGATTTGGGATTCTGTCTCATTCTTCAAGTCTGGGAAGTTTTCTCATATAATTTCATTGAATAGATTGCTCATTCCTTTGGTTTGGACCTCTATACCTTCCTGTATCCCAATGACTCTTAAGTTTGGTCTCTTTATGTTATCCCATATTTCTTGGATGTTCTGCTCATGGTGTCTTAACAGTCTTGCTGAGCTGTCTATGTTCTTTTCAAGTTGAAATACTTTGTCTTCATTGTCTGATGTTCTATCATCAAAGTGTTCTACTCTGCTGGTAGTATTCTCAATTGAGTTTTTAAGTTGGTTTATTGCTTCCTGCATTTCTAGGATTTCTGTTTGTTTGTTTTTTATAACCTCTATCTCCCTATATAGTTGATCTTTTGCTCTTTGGATATGTTTATGTAATTCATTGTCGAAGTGATCTTTCATTGTCTGATTTTGCTGTCTAATGTCTTCCTTGAGACTCCAGATCATCTGAAGCATGTATATCCTGAATTCTTTATCTGACATTCCATCTGCTGCAGCTATTACCTCTTCTAAAGTTGAGTTGACCTGCATTGCTTGTGGTCCTTTCTTTCCTTGTCTTTTCATACTGCTCGCGTTTCTTTCTGCTTGGTGAATCTGTTGTGTTTTTGAAATTTTCCCCCTATATATTTATATTGCTCTTGTATAGTTGAAAAGTCTCCCTTACAGGGGCGGGCGGCGGCTGTGCTCCTCCTCCAATTGGGGTGATCTGTCTACCACGCTGACGGGCTGCTTGGCCTGTTCTGCCAGTCGGTCGCAGGTCTGCCTACCTTGCAGGCGCGGGCGGCGGCTCTGCTCTGCCCCTCCTCCAATTGGTGTGACGTGTCTACCACGCCCGCGGACCCCTGGGCCTGTTCTGCCGGTCGGTCGCAGGTCTGTCTACCTTGCAGGCACGGGCGGCGGCTCTGCTCTGCCCCTACCATAAATAACCAGGAACGCAAAGTTTCTATAGTTCTCTAGCATCACATCTCTATATAAGTTTTTCTGAACAGGCTGAAGGCATTCCCACTCCTCTTCAGTAAAATCAATGGTTATATCCTTAATGTTAACAGTTCCATTTCTAGGTTCTCAGGAGTCGGGCCTGCTTGGGATCCTCAGCTCCTGCACAGAACAATCTGTGACACTGAAGTGTGAAACTAAATTCCAGCCAAATCTCATAATTTCTTTCTCAGAAAATTATTTATTGGTGAATAGACAAGCTATTTATTTTTGTACTTTGATTTTGTATCCTACAATTTTACCGTATTCATTTATCAATTTTAATAGTCTTTTTTTTTTGTCATTTATGTAAAAATTTATTTGACCAAAATGTAGAAAAAGTGATACTATTACATATGATACAGTCGCAAGAATCTAAAGAAGAGTGTGGATTTTGTTCAGCTGCACAATTTGCTAATGTATCTCCTGGGTAGTGTGATGCTTAATAAATAGGAGTGAGGGGCAGGGGATTTGGATAAGCTGGAAGCAGGGTGAATTTAGTCAGAATTGTAAACTCAAGTTGGTCCCCACACTGTTGGGGAAATGTGGAATGTTTCAGCTCTGAGATGTTAACCGAGAAAGCAAAAATAAAACAAAGCCAAAATGTGCAGCCCCTGCCTAAAAGTTCTCCATATCCAGTTTCATCAGGAGTTTCTTGGTCTTTTATTAACTTGGTCCCAAAGAAGGAATTCAAATCTTGGCTAATTTGCCAGTCCCTGAAGGATGGAGATGAAGTCAGGCCAAATTATTTTTCTATATCTACTTTGCTGCCAGAGATTCCCCTTCTGCCCAACATGTTTGTTGACAGAAAAAAAAAAAAAAAAAACAACTCTTCTGTGTAATTTATAGATGGCTAGCAGTCTTTTTGATATGGCTGACCCTAACAGGACTGTACTGCACGGTATTCCTGCTCAGGTATGGCCCCAAGAGCCGTCAAGCTTGGGTCATTATTAGAATAAGACACTTGCTCATCAGAGGACAACTTTAGAATGAAAGAAAAATGTAGAACATAGCATCAAGGATTATCCAGGCAATTCCTGGGTAAATATTATGACTATTTCCCAAGCACTGTCAAGCTGACTGCTCCAAGGATATGTATTCTGCACAGTGGAGTGTGGAGAAGGGCAGGACGACTAGGTTTATCTATGTGTGGTTTATGGTTTCCCACGTTGGCTCTTTTTTTGGCTCTGGATGGGACATCCCCACCCATTTTATTGTGATGGTCCCTAGCCTCCTGTAACCTGGCCAACAGTGACCCAGAACCGTTACACCCATTAACATCTTAAATCAACCCACAACTAGACATCGGAGCTTATCCTTGAAAGGTGGGGTTGACTATATTCCCAGGAACCAAAAGCCCTCCATCTGAAGGGAGTGTGCTCAGTATGAAACGCCCTGCCTACCTTAGGAATAAATGCAACTTAAGGATAAAAGTAGAGCTGAGAAAGCTGGTGCCATTGGAAATTAAAAAAAAAAAAAAAAAAGGAATTAGATTTAACTGGTGCCCAAAGCTTCTCTGATACAAAATATTTGGTCACATATTCATAATTTGCTTGAAATCCCAGCAAAGCGAAGATGCAATAACAAAAGAAACTTCTTACAAAAGAAGAGAAAGACATGGAGCTCTAGAATTTCTGTTGGAACAAGACTCTTCCGGTTCTGGTTATATACAATTAAGTTCATTTAGTGTCTGATCCAGTGTCTGATGTAGGCCCACGTTCTCTTCTTTGGCCTGGGCAAGTTTTTCTTCCAGGTCATCGATCGTCTTTTCCAGTTTGGCCACTGTTCTCTCTGCAAATTCAGCGCGGGTCTCGGCCTCCTTCAGCTTGTCAGACAGAAGTTTAATTTCTTCTTCATATTTATCCTCCTTTTCAGAGTACTTTTCAGATGCAGCCTCAAGCGATTTCAGATTGTTAGTGACATTCTTGAGTTCTTCTTCCAGGTCCCCACATTTTAGTTCAGACACCTCCGCACGCTCCTCTGCCCTCTCCAGCTCGCCCTCCAGGATGACCAGCTTCCAAGCCACCTCCTCCTACTTGCGGTCGGCCTCCTCGGCGATGTGCTTGGCCTCTTTGAGCTGCATCTCCTGAATCTCCATCTTCTCCTCGTCCTTCATGGCGCGGTTTTCTATCACCTTCATTCCCCTCTCGCTCTCATCCGCAGCCTTTTCTGCCTCCTCCAGCTTCTGCAGGGCGGTGGCCAGCCGTTCCTGGGCCCTGTCCAGCTCCTCCTCCACCAGCTGGATGCCTCGGTTGAGAGCTGCCACATCACCTTCGGCTTTTTCGCGCCGCTCGCGCTCGCCGTCCAGCTCCCGCTGAAGGCCCTGAGCGCGGTCCTCCGCCTCATCCGCCTGCTGCTGCAGGGCCTGGATCTTGCGTTTCACCGCCTCCAGGGAGTTGAGGCCGGCCATGGCGCGGAGGCGCAGGGGCGCACGCAGCGGGTGATCGGCTGGGCTCGGCTCGGCTCTTTAATAGTCTTTTGGAGGAGTCTATTTTTTCTATATATGGAATCGTATCACCTGCAAAAAGGAATAATTTGACTTCCTACCTGTTTGTGTGACTTTTCTTTCTTTCTCTAGACTAGTTTCTCAGGCTAGGTATTCTAGTCCTAAATTGAGTAAGAGTAGTGAGACACCCTTGTCTTATTACTGATCCTGGAGGAAATGCTTTTAACTTTTTCCTATTTACTGGTGTTGGCTCCATGCTTGTCTTTATTATGTTGAGGTACAGTCTTCTATACCTGTCATTTAAGGATTTTATCATGAAGAAATGTTGAATTTGATTAGATGTTTTTTCTACATCTATAGAGATGATCGGGACTTTTCTCTTTATTCTATGGATAAGATGTATTTTGTTAATGTACTACATATAATGAACCATCCTGGCATCCCTGGGATGAAACCAGCTTGATCAGGCTAAATGATCTTTTTGTTGTGCCGTTGAATTTGATCTGCTAGAATTTTGAGAATTTTTACATATATGCTCTTCAGGGATTCAGTCTATAATTTTTTTGTACTTGTTCCTTGTCGGGTTTTGGTAATAGGATACTGTTGACCTTATAGACTGTGTTTGGAATGGCTCCTTCTCTTTCAGTTCTTTGGTATACTTTGAAAAAGTATTGGCATTAGTTCTTCTTTAAAAATTTGGTAAAAATTCAACAGTGAAGCATCTGGTCCTGGTTCTATAATTCCATTTTGGTAGGTCATGTGTATCCAGAAGTATATCTGTTGCTTCTAGATTTTCCAGTTTGCTAACACATAATTTTTCATAGTAATCCCTAGTGATCCTTTATATATCTGTGGTATTGATTGTACTATCTCCTTTTTCATCTCTAATTTTACTTAACAAATATCCTTTTAAATAATGAAAATCTAGGTTGAAGTATTAGAACAAACAACTAAAATTTAGTACTAGTCACTTTGAGGCCACTGTATGGTAGCTCAAAGTCATGTAGTTCATTTTATGCTAATTTGTATTGTATTATTTGAAAAGTAAAATCCTACTTAGTGCCCAGAATTTGAAATAATGCACATTGTTTTTAAAAGGCTGAATTCTGAAATGGACCCCCATGGGACTTCTCATAGTACTGGTATTTATTATGTTATAATTTTGTATTTTACTATTGTAATGATTTAATTTTTCATAACCTATAAATAGGGAGGATGCAAGCATTTATTAAGTAGTAATTTTTACAGTCACTATTCCAAAGAAGTAGGATGGAAATTAGAGCTACTAAAATGCCATGCAGATCATGTATAACTAATTAAAACAAATGAAAAAATTTTTAAATGCCATGAAGGAAACCAAACACCACCATAATATGTAGAGCACTGTTAATTTTTAAGAGGAGAAGATGGTGGGGGATAAAAATGTGCTGTGAAAATAAAAAGCAGCATTACAGGGACACGGTGGTGCTAATAGAGATGTGTGCTCTGAACCAGATCTTTCCCATGTTTTATTACTCTTTGTATCTGGTTTGCAATCAAGAGGATTTTATTCCAGCACAATATTCCTCTGTGTGTGCCTTGAATTAGCACTTGTAACAGAAAAGTCTAAGGTATAGGGCTAAATTATTTTAAGAGTTATAAACATTGCCAGAGTTTATTTCTCAAAAGAGATACTTTTTAAATCCTTCTTTTACATTTTTAACAGAAAAGCATAACCCTAAGAACACCCTATATTTGAGGTTGTAAGGAAGTCAGTATGAAAACTATTTTAACTATGTTGTATCATGGCAGTATAGTTCCAGAAAGTTTCAGAATTACAGAATGGGAAGAATCAATTCCTGTCTAGGATACATATCTAATTTTTCACTCACTGACTATAACTTCTGTTCCAGTGTCCTTTAAAACTCTGATCATATTAATTACCTAATGTGTAAGGCTATTAAAGAAAAGGGCTGAGATTTTTGATATGCAATAGCAGTATTCCATCTTAATTCTAATGTTTTATTTTTCCCTTTCTTTAGATTTTGTTTGGATTCCAGTTATTGCTGTGTTCACAGTCTTTCTAGTATTTATCATACTATGTGTATGTGCATGTTGTCATATTAAGAAGAATCCATTTAAGAAAAAAAGCAGAATGTTACCCAAGTCCTTGGTAAAGTATTTAAATTTTTTTTATTTATAGATGCTAAAATGTAACTTGAATCTTTTTTGAAAGGTTTCTTCAATTTTGTTTGTAAAGTAAAATGATGTTCATTATCATTCAGCAGAATGTGACATGCTGAACATTGTTATATTGAATCTTACTATAGTACTTTACATTGAAAAGTACTCAATCTCCACATATCCAGAATCATATGTTTTTTTACTGTTCACCAGCTGCTGCTTTTGTTCTTGATACAAAAACACAAACGAGTCTGGTGAGGAGCTTAAAGTCTAGTGAGAAAAAAAGATGAGAACACGATTGGTGTGCTGTGTGACAAGTTCAAAGGCAGAGGCTTACATAGGAGCCAGTGAGGACACTGGCCATCTTTGGGGGTGGGGTTAGTTGTGGCTTTTCCAGAGGCAGAAATAGCTGAGCAGTCTTGAAGGACAGTAAGAGTTTATCCAGCTTCTAAGGCACAGTATGAGCTAAGGTCCAAAGTCCAGAAAGCCTGGCTTTTGATTATAGTTGCAATGTAGAAGAGAGAAGGCCAAAAATTGGACTCTCAAAAGAATTTGACACTTAAATGTCCAACATTTCAAAGTCATAATTATTTGTATCAAGTATGACAGGAATAACACCTGTAATGTTCAAAGGGCATATTGAAATTTGCAATAAAAATACTACCTTAAAGGAAAGTGGCTAAAAATTATCAACAGTTAGTTGACAATTCATATATGAATTATAATAGTTATCCTTACTAGGAATTAAGCAAAAAGACACCTTGCAATGTGCCATTTTAAACTCACTAGAGAAAGAAAAATAAACCTAATGATCCAGTAATTCCAGTAGTAGTACAAGTTATGTGTACAGGGGAAAAATAATGTAGTCTTAGTGGGAAGTTAAGCCTGCAGGGTGTACAATATGGTAGTACCGTAAGTCTGCCATCCCTGTAGAGTCTTTTATTCTAAGGAAATAATTTCATAAATGAAAATACATGTGAAATATTCAACATGTTCTGTAACTGGCAAAAATTGGAAATAATTTAACATCTATTAAAGAAATTATCTATCAGTATAAATTATATAAGCCAGTGAAAATTATAATGATAAAGAAAATTAATGAAACTTTTATATAAAATAAGTAGTTGGGTCTGGGAATGTGGCTCAAGTAGTAGTGCACTTGCCTGGCATGTGTGAGGCACTGGGTTCGATCCTCAGCACCACATAAAAATAAAATAAAGATATTGTGTCCACCTAAAGCTAAAAAATAAATATTTTTAAAAAATAAGTAGTTGTATTCCCATTACATATTTAACAAGCATACATATAGGAGGTGACGTACAAAAAGCAATAATACTTCGGTAAGATACTAGATGACTTCTTAAAAATCCCCCAAATTTGCTTATCATGTCAATATATTATTTTTCATTTAAAAAAGAAAGATAAAAGCAACTATCTGATTCCATTATACTATTCTAAATATGCCATGTAGTAGCCCATGACCTTTAGGCTTTTTTTTTTTTTTTTTTTTTGAGAATTGGCATTTAAGTTTAATAATTTATTAATTTGCTATCTTTAATCACTTTCTCTCCCTTAGCTTTCTGTGGTAAGAAATGCCACTTCAGAGACAAAACCTGAATCAAAATATGTATCGCTCATCACATCATACCAGCCATTTGTCGTAGAAAATGAGACGGTGGTCTGTGAAGAGCCATTGTCTCCAGTAACAATTCCAGGCATACAGACAGAAGATAAACCAGGAAAAGTAGAACACAGAAAAGAACCTTCTAGTGAAACACAAGTGGTGACTACTGAAGAAAATATTTCTGACCTGGCCCTGAGCAGCCCTATGTCTTCAATAGAGAGAGAGAATTCTCTCCATTCAAGTAGTAATCTGTCAGCACCCTGCAGCAGCACCTTGAATTCCTATCACTCCAGGAATGGTTCTGATAGTGGCCTCGTGGGATCAAATGGCTTCGTATCTGAATCAGAATTACCCCCAAGTGATACAGCTGAAATAAAAACAGAAGGACAAATATCCACAATGCTGAGAAATGCCCCTACCTCTTTTGGTTATGATAAACCACATGTGATTGTGGATCTGATTGTGGATGATGGCTGTAAAGAGTCTTTGATTGGTTATAGACTCACAACAGATTCCAAAGACTGTTCATAAGATCATCTAAGATGCACCAAATTTTGAAGAATCTCATTTTTCTGGATGGTTTTCTGCTTTGGATTTGGGAAAAGACCATAACCTCAGAAATTGTATCTTTGTTGATATTAACCAAAGGCAGTATCTTGGTTGAGATAAAGATCATTGGAACCCTTGCATTTGCTTTGAAAACCAAAGACTCTTCTTTAAAAAAAAAAAAAAAAAGGACAAAAAACCTATCATGGCACTTATGAACCTTTTATTTAGGTCCTAGCAATATCAGCGAATACTCTCCATTTACTCCTGCTTCCTACTATAGCAGGGGTGCTACATTCCCATCACTTTAAGGGATATAATGACACAATTATGGACACAATGGTGCAGGCCTATAACTGCAACAACTCAGGAGCCTGAGGCAAGAGGATCGCAAGTTCAAGGCCAGCCTCAGCAAGTAGTGAGGTCCTAAGTAACTTAGCAAGACCCTGTCTCAAACTAAAAATTAAAAAGGGCTGGGGATATGGCTGAGTGCTAGAGACCTTGCCTAGCATGTGCGAGGCCCTGGGTTCAATCCCCATATAGCACAAACCAGAGCCATATAATGGTGTTTTGTCTTTTCTGTGCCTCATTTGTTATTTGTTTTATAGTATTAAGTGCTTAACTCTCTAAC